AAAAAAATATTTAAAAAATTTCATTGGTTCTTGCAAGGCATTTAAATTACGAGCAGCCATTGGTTAATTAGTGGCATGAGACCTATACGCCACTGGTACATATAGATGTTAGTCTTTTACTTGGAGGCATGTGCGACATTTGTGTTGATAAACATTGATTTTCGCACAATTCAATGCACTCTTCAAATGGAAATCTCTCAAGTATGAGGTTTAGCCTGGGCGTGATTTGCACTGATTATTATTAGGCAAAGGTAACAAACTGAAATTTCATTGCAATATTAAATTACCCGACAGAAGTCTGGTGTAACGTCTGATAAAAATAAGACACATGTCCACTGAGACAACAACCTGAGCAACAAGAGTTGTCTGCAATCAACATGACCGGCCTTCGAAGAACCAATGACAATCGTACAGCTGAATAATTGGAATCGTCACAGTAAGTGACAATGCAAGGTCAGAATAGATGAACTTTTAGTCCGTGTTAAGTTCATTGTATTCATACTAAAATCTGTGAACAGTTTCTGTAATGTATTTATTGAATATCTGTGTTGGTTTATGATAAACGTGACACCATCATAATAAAAAAAACATTTTTTCTCACTTTTACAATAATTGTGTGGTTACAATTGCCTTTGATACAATGTAAATAGCTCCACGTCAAAAAGTTGCTATTTGTTTTTGTTTTTTGGCAAATCATGTGGTTTGTCGTAACATTGATTGGAAAACTTCGGTAAAAGTACATAACTGTTATGTTGGAACATATATATATATACAAACATATATTAGTATTTGTATCGATTTTTGTCGAATTAGCAAACATGATACTAAATATTTTCTATTATTTAATTAAAAATTTTGTCTGGTTTTGTGAAACAAACAGAGACTTGAGAGTGTCCTTGTCAGCAATCATAGGGATTCACAGTTTCTGATCATATATTACAAGAAAAACTAATACATACACCCTGGAAAAGAATAGTTTCCAAAATGTTATCAAAATAAATAGTGTTAGCAAGGTAAATGTTCTCGAGCACAAAGAATTTGAAGTTCTGTGTCACTGCCCATACTGAAAATCATGGAAGCACTTTTATGTTTTTCATTAAAACACACCGTTTTAATTGAAAACACACCGTTGTGATTAAAAATGTGTATTATATAAGAAAACCACTTGTATTTTCTATCAAAACAGTAGTCTTTTAGTATTTTTAGAAAAGTGTTTTAGGGAGTTATTAAAACACTTTTTGATGAAAATTAAGCGCATTATAAACATTATAAAACATTATAAATATTTTTAATAATAAAACATTGATTGCTTCATGGTGACATAAATGTGGCCTTAAAGTGTTTATTGATAGAACATTTATAAGCTAATGCGTCCAACTTTTTGTAAGAAGTATTAAAGAAATTGAGTGAAAAGTCCGGGGACTCGTGAGTAAACATTATGGTATATATGCCAACTAAACAATCACTGAAAGTGACGTAATTCAATGCATAATGAGATGGGTCATGACATTACCTCCAGAAAATAATGTTATGTCAAGCACCAACCTATATGGTCTTACCAACCTACTGAAGTATAACCAGAAATCGAGACACGTGGTGAATTAAGTACCTCATGGCCTAACGAATTTTATTAATCCTCATTTTCTCGAAAAATGTTCAATTTGAAACACTTCAAAAAGCAAAATCACCAACAATCTTTCAACCCGAAACACCAGACTATAAATGTTTCGCAATGTGTTAATAAATGTATAAAACTCATTTGTGTTCATGGGAGTAAAACACTAAAGCACTGTTCTTCCAAATTGTTAAATTGTTTTATCATGAAGCACTTCCTAAAACAAACACACATGTAATGTTTCATGGTAAAACACTCGACTATGCATGTGTTACTGATGTCTATGTAAACGACATGTACAAACGTTCATAAGAGTAACTAAAGCACTTTTCTTTGAAACTGTTTTATTTTAGGCGCTTCAGAAAACAAACACACATGCAATGTTTCAACCTATATACAGGACACTTTAGTATGTCGTCTACGGTATGCATTTATAATGTACACTGTACTTATTAACGACTGCTCACACACATCACATTTGTGAGGAAGTGGGTTCGAAGATGTTATTGTTACTCATCTGTTTTGAAGTGTCAATGTTCACAAATATAGGGTACTATATCTACAGTTTCATGACAGGTTTGAATTTAAGTAAACACAATTATTCACGCGATTGATAATATCTTTTACAACAACTATACATGTCTGTTTTTTTAAATCTTACACTTGAACTTACCTTATTATTCTTACTTGATTACATGATGTGTTTATCGTTTGTTATGATCACTGTACAATAGTGCAAAGTGTCTTATCATGAAACGCATTATTTGGTATATTTAGTTTTTTAAAAATGATAATGTTAGTGATTTTTTACCATGGTATCAGTGTAAATTCATTTTAAAATGTGTTTCAGTTACGAGCACTTGTCAATATTCAGTTTGTGTTTTACTTTTCAAAGTGTTGCGATGATAATCATTTTTTCAATATGTATTTCTGGTGGAAACTCTTTTCAAAATATGTGTCTAGTGAGTTGTGATACGGAGAAGATTGATTTGTATATTGACAGCGACACTGTCATTTCTGTTGACGAAGAAGTATGCGCGAGTGACAAACATTCGCTAATTTTAATGAATTTTGAAGTCCCTAAACGAGCAAAGTAACGACATACACATACTGCTTTGTTGTTTTTGAAAGAAAGGTGGAGTTCGGTTAATTAAAGAAATGGACAGACTCCATAGATGGGGCAGCTATTCACACTACCGTACAACTATTAATTCACGGTCTCTTAATTCGCCCATCTGACAAAGTCAGTTAAAGTATATAATCATTTTTTCTCAGCTGCTGCCATTAAAAAACTGAATCTTGAATTGGTATCAGCCAGAAGTATTGAAGGTTTGTCGAACTCAATAACCTAAAATAAAAGAGTTCATTATCATAAAAACACCTAGTATATGAGATTCTATATAAATACTGTGTTTGATCGTCTTCATACTCATCTCGCTAATTTAGTATCAATGTACGGATACATATAGACTGGCAAAGTCGGGACTTACAAAAAAATATAATTAATTGTCAATGTAGCGAAAACTAGCGTGACTGCGAAAGAAATCCAGACTGGACGCATATGCGTTGGAGTGAAAACCGGAGCAGAATCACTCCGGTGATTATAAGATTATAAAATTATAAGATGTTGACTAGCAGCTGTATACGTCATCTCTTGTCTATGTTAATGTCGTGAACTTTCACTTCTGAGGTCCAGGCGATTTTCAAAGACTACTTCTATACATTGGACATTTAAATCGACTTGTTTTCTGTGAACATGGAGGAAAGTATTACCGTTTCACTTAAATTTTAACTTAAAAGTTAAACTATCCATCTTTACAATCGATTCGAATCAATCTTTACAAGGTCACGTTTACTTTCACACATCCACTCATAAATAATCAATGACATCATGAATAATTAATAGCAGTCAAATGCCCGCATATGCCATCACCCGAAACGCATGATCTTGTGTCTTCGATCTATAGGCCTCTACACGATACCGTTCGGGATCGCATAGGCTTATTGCGTATCTTAAGCATTGAGATCTGTTTAGGCGCACCTCGAAACAAGGCGCTCAATCAGCTTGGACGTACCAAATTATAAAACAAAATTCCACTTCCTGTATTTGTCGCTATGAAGACATCCTTCCCACACTAAACTGCGTGGATTGCCTGTACCGAAAACTTTTGCAATTTTATCATCACAAATATCACGATTCGTAGGTGCCGCCATTTTGTTTAAAATGAAACGTCAAAGAGGGATTTGTAACACGCAAACTGATTAGACAATGATTTGCCGCAACTGACTACTGGGGACTACTAGAATACGACTATTTGAGATGGTCGTTCTGCCAAGGTTTGTTTAGAGGTTTGACCGAATAAACTTAGACATTGGCTAGCGAAGATGGCATATACTTCCAGTCGGGATTTCTTTAGTGGTCAGGTTAGTTTTCGCGATCACGCTAAAAGGAATAAAGGAACAATTAATTATTTCTTTTTGTAAAACAAAAAAGAAGTCCCGACTTTGCTAGTCTAGGATACATACTGTCTAACTACAAACGCAACAGTGTGAACATTACAAGTATTCACATTGATTACAATATGTTGCTGTTTACCTTTCCCTTATCCATGACCATAATTTTATCACAATTCAATACAGTGTTCAGCCTGTGTGCTATTATTAACATAGTACAATCTTGAAATGCGTCTTTAATTGTTTGTTGTATAAGACTGTCAGTCGCTGTATCAATGGAGGCAGTGGCCTCGTCCAACATCACTATCTAAGCGTAAAACATATCAATATTATTATTATTATTTATATTCACGTCTCAAGTGCCTAAACACGCGGGATTCCAAGCTCAGAACGCAATGCGGAATACAACTTTATTACCTTAGATTTTCTGAGCCACGCCCTTGCCATGCACAGTAACTGTCTTTCACCAACTGAAAAGTTCTCGCCATTTTCAACAACAGGGGCATTTAATTTATCTTCCAGTTCCTGCACCTACCGTAGTTAATATACGTAATGAGATTGGAGTTAATGCAGTAGTAATACAGTTTAATCATATACACGTATTGTCATAGTTTAGCAAAATCAAATTATGTGAACTTAACACCAATTTAAATTGCTAATAAAATCTACCCTCAAATTTTTGACCAGTGGGAATGCCCTATGCCCAGGTTTGTAACTATACAGATATTAAGTTTTTGGGTTTGACTTTTGTTTTCAATACGGCCACTAGTTTTTTTCGATATTATTTTCGGAGCCAAATCGTTAATGTACACAAATAGATTATTATGCAACTCTAGCGCATAGAGCCCACCAGCCACAATTGAAATTTCAATATGCAGTTTTAATGAGAATATCTCGATCTTCTGGTATTATTCACACAATGTTATTGCCGGGACTGTTGACCTTGGTCGGACTTTCGGGCGACGTCATATCTTTTGCGGAGGACTTTATATTCAAGTAAAATCCACATTCTGTATTGTGTGAAACGACCTCGTACTATGACATTATATATTGTGTGGATGACTTTATATCTTGAAAACCACGTGTACTCATGTGACTCCATATTTTGAGTAGAGAATGTTTTTATCCTAGGTAATTGAAGAAAATCTACTTTTGTGGTGGGCGTTATATACCAGAGAAGTTTAAGATTATTTCTTGTTTCAATGAAAGTTTACATACTCTGTTTTTTCCAAATATCAATTATGTTATTTTACATCTATCAGATTGAAAAGTATTACGATTTGTCTGAAACAAACGCATGCTCAATATTATTGTATTATAATATAATCTTACTATATTTGCGGGAAAATGCCACTGTTCGAATGTACAAATTCCATTCGTCAACAATACTCCGAAACTATGAGAGTCAACTTCAGAAGGGTACATATTATCTGCTCCGCGTGTTCTAGAATTTTGTGGTTACATGGCATGGCGCTCACTATTTTTTACTCATAATAATAACAGCAAAATAAACTACTGCTTCCAAGTTAATATATATCTGGCTTTACATAAATGTCTGGAAACCGTTCAGGGACGCTGTTTGGGGGAAGACTGTGTGCATGTTTATATGTAATTTGCGTGTAATAGATATGCGTGAGAGATTACCGTGTCTTTCATATAGCACTTTTCCAAAGCTGACCAAACTTCGACATCGGAGTATTGTTGAAATGGGTCCAAATTATACCTACAATTTGAGAAATACATACTCTTATGAAAATAGTTTGGTACTCAGTTGAATAACGAATTGAAAATAATCCCAATTGATCAAAATACACATGACTGTATTATGTATTATTCATAGAGTCAAACCTGACAGTTCCAACAAACAGAACAGGATCTTGTGCAATTATTGTCAATTTTGATCTCAAATCTTGTAATCCCAGACTCGCTATATCAATACCATCAATATAAATAGCACCCGAATTTAGCTCCCGTAGACGAAATAAACAAGCCCCAAGGGAAGATTTTCCTGAAATTGAAAAAATGTTGTTAAAGTGTTTTATAACATATACTCGTACATTATTTCTGCTTTTACTTATGTGCCTAACCACAAATACATATAACCCAAACATAATACATATATCAATAGGCTTCTTGTCGTATTTTGTTTTAAATATTTTGTAACATATTGAGAGCTAACAATGTAGCTCTATATATAATTTTTTGAAATTTATTTTTTCGACTAATTAATTATTACTAAGTTGCAGGTTTCTTCAGGGTCCATAGCACCAAGAGCCAAATGATTTCCAAGACTTTCCCAGACCTTTCCCTAAACTTTCTTGCATTTTTGATGAACTTTGGTGATGATGTTGGTCTTTTAAAAAGTAAAGGGTAATTTTAGTGAGAGATCGGTCTGAAACTGCCTGATGCGGACATTACGCAACTTAGAAACTATACGATTTACGAGTAAATCAGTCAGAAGAAGAAATTAAATAGTGCCTGTTACCGGATAAAGAAGGCAACGATAGAAGAATAGCGAGCTAGAAAGTGGTATAATTAAAATGATCACTGAAATTTATCTGGAAATTATCGGTATTGATTATTATTTGCGAGTCATACCTGCTCCAGTTCTACCGACAAGTCCTATCTTCTGCATTGGCTCCACTTTGAAAGAGACTCCTCTTAAAGCGAGAGGAAGGTTTTTACGGAAGCGCATCTTCAATTCTTTTACTTCTATTGCACCTGCATGCGGCCAGTTATCAGGCGGTCTATTCTCAGTTACTACTGGTGCTTCAGATACCAAGTTCTGAAAAATAAACAATTTAACATTACGTTTCTTTCTCAGTAATACTATTTACAATACACTTACTAACGATACCAATCACACAGTACGTGCTAACATTGACACATCACGTGCTTTATGGTACCTGTTCGATGTCATCATTTTTATAATGAGCCTAATTGTCCTACTGACGAATTGCTGTAAGAAATCACTTATCATTAAATTCATCATTAAATATATCGTTTCAGTAACTATAAGGTGAACTTACTTTAATATAATACTGTATTCGTTCCACTGATGTAAATCTGGCTTCACAATCTGCAATCATTCTCACGAGAAACTGAAAAACTCCTGTCAGCTGAAAAGTTAACAAATAATTACGTAACAAAATAATATTAGGATGATTTGTCGATAGTTTATTAAAAAAAAAACATTTTCTAGTTTTCGTATAGGCAATCGCTGGCATTAGTGTTTGATCATGATTTTAATACAACTTTCTGGCTCGTATGTATTAGCGACGAGTTTTCTATCAGCATTTAATTAAATTGAAAGCCCACTGTTTAAGCTAAAACATGTATTATATTATAAAATACCTGTATTTACTATGAGAACATTAGAGTTATTTTTGGATGTTTTCATGTTTCAACGGCGGTGATGTTCTAATCATTCTCACATGTGATTTAATAATTGTTCACGGAAACTGTTAAATTTGAAACACTACAGAAACAAAATCCCCAACGATGTTCAGACTATAAATATTTCACAAAGTGCTATTGTATAAGACACATTCCAAATTTCCGACAATAGTTGTACAATGTATGTGAGGGATATTCCAAAATTATACGAATTTGAAAATAGTATAGCATATATCCTCACCTGCACTGCATATGATAGGGCTATTCCACTATAGGATGGAGGTATCTGACCATGTGCTAGTACTGCCATCAGAGCAGCAACAAAGGAAGTTGTCATGCCAATTACATCTAGCCTCACAGCAACCCAGCGATTTGTCAGATAGAACAAGACGAAGGGGACTGAATTGCAATCAACTAAATCTGCAAATCTGGCAATGCAGAACATAAATTAGTTACATAAAATATAGTTCATAACATATTTTTTAAAGATTTATATACATCATTTTTTTAAAAAATATGCTATGTCTGTTAACATCAATTCTTATGCACGACTGTGTTTATCGCATTATTCACAGAAGTGACGATTAGTGATGAATATCCCTGACTGATATTTTACACTAAGCGTGACGTTATGCACGACGAACGTCATCTGCCTATGTTAGGTAGAGCAGTACCTGGAGGTAAATACAAATCAGGCGACAGTTTCGTTTTATTGCTGTAATATGAGATTTGGCAGATGATTAGTCACAATAAGAACGTCAGTGGCTAATACTCGCCGATGAAGTCAATCATATCTAGCAGAACAAAAGAAAACAAGTGCAATCAGGTGATAATATCAAAATGGTGACTCTAACTCACCTTTTGCAGAATTCCACTTGTTTTCCATATGCACGGATAGTAGAAGCTCCTTGTATGGTTGCTGTCATGTGAGAAACCCACGGTGACCTACTGATATTTTCAAGGCGCTTTATGTCTCGCATTGCATGCCGAAAGTGTAAATAAGCTACAATAAAAACTATGCTGAATAGAATGAAAGCTAACAAATACCACGGGAACACCAAGGATATGGACAGAAACGCAAAAAAGAGAATACAACATTGTGTAATCAGCTGTGTAATATAAATCGGCAAGTGTACATCCACTGTAAGAAAAATGAAAAATATGATAATTTTATGTATTATATTATATTGTTTTAGTATTTGACCCAACTGAAAATATATATATTTCGGCATGCAATGCAAGACATAAATATAATCTCACACTAGTCTGCATGCATTTCAATGACGTATGTTCACATCCAGCAAAGTTGTAAGAATTGCAAAACTATTCCTATATATCAAGATGAACATACTTTGTTCACTACACAACATCCACAACAACGAAATAATCAGAATAGCAACAAATTCATGTGGTTTTTTAATCCCCAGATAATTAGTGTCTCTGGTACGCTTGTATTTGTGTCAAACCTACATATTGATTCTGGACATGTAATAAATGTAAAACTTCGGGTCTTGCAGACAATCTAAAAACGCCGATATGGAAGTGTATTTCGTGTTGTTATGTGTTCGAACATATGCCATCATTTCGTATTCCACTACACATCATTAGGAATAGAGTATAGAGTAAAATATTGAAATAAATGATGTATTAAATGTATTTATAGCTAATTTGTTACGATAGTAGCATCAGTAGCAAACTTCTTGCTCACCTTCATCCAGATCTTTTGAAAATCTATTAATAATTCGTCCTGAGGGCGTAGTATCAAAAAAGGTCATTGGACTTCGGAACACCTTCTTGAAAACTTCGTTATGCAAAGTAGTTGACGCTTTCAGTGTAATCTGTTTATGACAGTTAAACACATATCATTATAATATATTTAAATATTGGATGATAGCAGCATATATGTGATGATGTTGGATGTTAGAATAAATATATCGATTGTAACAAAAACAAATCGTTATAAAATGGTTTCAGTTATGAAGTCAATATGATTATCAATGAATTTGTATACGTAGATGATTAAATAAGCCGACACCTAGATAAATACACTACGTACGATTTTTAAAATATCTAGCAGCCATGTAAAACAAACGGACAAGACACACCATGAAATCACGTACTTGTGTAAAAGAAGAATATGGAACTGACCTTGGCATGAAGAATACATTCGACAATTGCAAACGTAATCATAATTGCAATTATGAAAGTATACACATAAGCAAAATATGCTCTATCTGTATTCTCTGTTATAAATCCAGTACTAAGAGTCTCATTTGCATGTGTGCTATTGGTATTCTATTTGAGAAGAAATATACAAATATACAACCTGTAATGATGAAATTGAATATTTGACACATAATTCGAAAATGTTAAATTTGTAGACAATTGGCATGGTTTAAATTTAAATATATATATTTATGTTATGTCCATACAATCATATCGTCAAGTTTGCTTTTGTTACATTTATGATTTACCTGGTTAGTAGTGTGAGTAATCCAGTAACCAAGCCACCAACTACTAGCGGCAACACAACCAGTTACAATAATCATTGTGAATATTGTGAGAATTGAAATCATATATCCTCCAGCGTATTGTATATAAGCATGATACGTTGCCAATTTTACCCCACCTTCTGCTTGCTCTTCTTTTGTCATTAATTCACCAGTAACTAGTTAAGTATATAACACCATATAACATCATCAAATCGATTAAGTTGATTAATACAGCAAGTTACTGTATACCTATTTCTTGGATTTATAATTACACTAATACATACCTTCCTCCATATCATTAGTAGTACAAAATGATATTCCTGATGTGTCACCAAGAGTCATGGATGAATCACTCTGAGCACACGTGTCATATTCATCAACTGAAACTACAGTATTTAGATTTGTGGATATATCGATCTTGTTAGTCTCTTCTGTAACTTCACCGCTGTGGAAACGTTTTATTAAATTTGCATAATGACCACTAGAAGTCATTAATTGCTGATGTGTTCCACTTTCATGAACCCTGCCATCTCGCATAACCAGGATTTCATCACATCCACTCAGATACTAAAAATATAAATAAGACACAAAAATATTTAACTTATGCAATATCTCACCTTGCGCACCTAATCAGGATTTTCTTTGAAAACATGTTACAAATTGAACAGCTTTAGGACTGGTAAAAGGTGTATAATGTAATCATACAGTCATAATATGTTAACATTTATGTGGTAGTTTGTGAACACACCTGGGGATCTGAACTCACTCACCTGCAACTGATGAGTAACAAACAACACTGTTTTACCCCGAAGAGCGTCCATTATATAATGATTGAAAATATGCTGTCCAACGTGTGTATCTACTGCACTCAGTGGGTCATCTAATAAGTATATATCACTATCAGCATACAAAGCTCTAGCTAGGCTCACCCTCTGTTTCTGACCACCACTTAAATTGATACCTCTCTCTCCAATCTAAAACAAAACAAAATATTTACAAACACATGAAAGTTAGAGAGTCATTAATGTCAAAACTATATACATGGCAGACTAATTATTTGAATAATTATTTAAAATGATAGTGAAAATTTGTGAGGAGAAAGATATAATAAATACCTCAGTTTCACTGCCATTTGGTAAGATATCAACATCATCTTGAAGACATGATGCACGTATACATTTCTCATATAACTGCTTATCAAATTGAAGACCAAACAATATATTTTCTTTAAATGTAGCATTGAAGATCCATGGTTGTTGAGAAACGTAAGCCATGTTCCCATCAATGGAAACGCTGCCGGATATTAGCTGCATTTGAGACAATATGGCCGATATAATCGATGATTTTCCACTACCAACACCACCACATATTCCAATCAACTGACCCTGGAATACAATATGTGTTAATGCTAGAAATTGTTCCCACTGGAGAGAATTCATTATTGTTGAGAAATTGTATTCACAATTTGCTCATGCTGCTTCAAAACTATTGACGCACTATATTGAATTCATTTGATCAATTTAGTCTATGATATAGAATAGAGCAGTCGCGAATGAAATTAGTCGAATATTAAACGAATATTAATCTAAAACAACAAGCACGTACAACATTTGAAAAAAAAAATTATATTAATTTTTATATTCCGTGTTACTCATATCAGTCATATACATGGCATCATAATCGATGTACGTTATAATGGATTAAAAATGATTCGAATACAGACGCATTGAGCGTATACAATTTCGTACAAAATATTATCAATTCATTATAGAATGTCATGCTTGAATAAACACAGTGCACATAGTAGGTTTACATGATACAACACCGTGTTTCCGTCAATCAGTCAAATATTGGAATTCGTATTGTATAAATAAAAACAATTTCAACTACTAATTGTACTTTACAAAACTAATATACAGTCACCTTTTTAACACTTAGGTTGATGTCGAATAACGTTGCATTGCTTTCGTCCTGGTGATCAGGGCTACATAGTTTACTTTCTTCAAGAGATTGGCATGTACTTTCACTCTCACTCTGTTTCTTCCATGAAAAATTTGTTGAAGACAACTCGATTGCATTATATTCATCATCAGGTGTCCTTGTATATGTTTGGATTTCCTCCATCATCAACAATTTCTTTGAATGCAAATGAATAGTACATGTATATTAACATATTTGTCTCATCAAGTCAGAACCATTTGTGAACATATGTGTATTTGTGTAGAAAGGAGGTGTTGTATGACACAATTGGCTGAAAAAAACCCGTCTCATTTGCACAAAACCGTATTTTCAGTAAAACTGTATCAAAATGCTTTTCGATAGCCAACATGGTAATTCGAAATTGACAATCCCATCGTTACGAACTGAACAACATTTCTTTTGAGACATGTGTTTGATCAGACTACAGCAAACTGTTGAAAGCAACTATAAGTTTTTGTAAACAGAGGTTCGTTGCGCTATAGTACTATAGCTGGAAATTGTACACGTTTTCAATGCCTTTACAGTGACAAGTTGTCTAATTTGTATGCATTTCGACAATTTTAAACGCAATAAAATGAACTCACTCCTGCAAAAAATAGTACCACTGATTGACTGTTGAATTGTTTTGCAATATAGACAATTTTAAGACATGTGTATGCTATATGTTTTGTTGAGAATTATTCTGTAAAGAAATTGCGGAAATGATTGCATATATTCGTAAAATGGGCGCTGCTGCTGCCTCAACGATGGTCTACGAACGAATGATTTCCATTTCCTGTATCGGGTTGGTTGTATAGACGTTTCGAAAGTACAAAAAATGTAAAACTTACTTTCATTCTTTCAGCTGCAATAACAGACTCAGTAATATATTTTACTGATAGTGGGATTACTGCCGACATTGTTCCTGTCATAGCAAAGAGAGCAATTACTCCATATGCCTTACAATAGAAATACAAATAGAATATTGGTTTAAATATTATTTTCATAATAATGCCACTATTTCAACATTATTGCAAGTTGATGTGCATGTGCTGGCAAAGTAAAAGTAAGTGTTATATTACAGGTGACTATAATCAAAATTTCGAAATATGTATTGATGTTATTAAAGGCACCAAACTAAAACGATGTTGCATAATTGACATTATGGCTTACTAACACAAAATACGGAAATTTTCAAAAGTTGTTTTTGGATAAAATATCTCTGCTGTGTGGTTTTGTGGAATCAGTTTTTTTATGCTGTGTCCGATGTAGGGAGTCTGGATGTCAGTCTGGATGTGGCCGATTTCTTCTCAAAAACCGTTTGACTTGATTTTTGTTGAATGTGTAGAAGTCGATCCGCTAACAAGTTTGCAAATTTGCTACAAAAACTATAAAAAATACTTAAATAATGACTTTTACTACAACAATATTTGGTTACTGTTCAATGACATCACGTACATACATTTGGTTCACATGCCATTGCAGTATTGTTTAGGATCAACAACTTACATGTTTGGGGTAGACACTATAAACATATATTACAGGACTTTTATGAATAGATTGTTTACTAATTGTATTTAGTAGTGGCTACTTTGCAAAGCTTTAACCGAGAGACACATCCCTGGTAAAGACGTTATTGTGGCAACGACCACAGCAATTGGCTGATCGCATGTTTACTCTGCCACACCTTAGCGATTCATGAAGATTTGCAGGAGAAGGAAAGACGTTGGCGGCGAGGCGTTATCTTAGCTGACCGTGCAGATGAATAAAGCTTGACTATCTGTTATGAACTAATGTGTATTCCTTTGAGTCGAATCTGGTATCT